TACAAGGCCAGGGGTCCCAAGACCTGACAGGACAACTCACTGTGAGGAGCCTTATACTGGAACTTGGTTCCCCAACCAGGAAATTCTGCACCCCTATCCCAGCTCCAATGCCATGTGACCCTAGACCATTGTCTCTAAGTCTTGGCTTCCTCACCACCTGCTGAGGGACCTACTAGATCACTAACAAGGAATCCACCATTACTCGTGTCCACCTACAAAAGGCCTAAGTTGTTATGGCAGATTTGAACGATCTACCAGGGCCGTGGCTCTGTCCCATTCACCACCAGTCCCCGGCCTAAGCCTTATAAGCATCTACTAAAATCTGTCTGAGTGTCTGAAATCTTCCCTCAGGCATGCACTGAGGGTCTTCTAGGCTGCAAGAGGGCCTAGTCTGCATGTGTCTAGACCAAGGTTCCAGTTATTGGTCCATCAATGGCTGGGGGAGGAGGGTCAGTGGGCATGCAGGTCTGTGTGCTGTGTGAATGTGGCCTTGGGCATCTTGGGATGAAGGTGTAAGGATAACAGGCAGTCCTGCTCCCCTGCCCTCTGGTCCCTACCTATAGGTGAGGTCTGTCTTCTCCCAGCGCCCTCCTGACAGTACGAAGCGCTTCTGTCGGTTTCGGGCATTCAGCACATCAGGTGAGTCAGGCACACCACATCGTGGAGGTCTGGAGCTACTAGCAGGACTAGAGGCCCAATGGGAGGCAGGGGCAGATGTTAAGCTGTGAGGCAGAGCTGCGTGCTGGAGCTGCGGCCCTCTCTTCCCAGGGAGGTGACGGTTATGGCTATCCTGGGCAAGAAAAACGACGCAAGAATCAAGTCAACTCAGATCACTGGGGCCTAAGGTTTAAGATGTAGTTCTTTTTGTTTTTTGGGTTTTTTTTTGGTTTTTTGTTTTGTTTTGTTTTGTTTTTGAGACAGGGTTTCTCTGTGGCTTTGGAGGCTGTCCTGGAACTAGCTCTTGTAGACTAGGCTGGACTTGAACTCACAAAGATCCGCCTGCCTCTGCTGGGATTAAAGGCGAGCTATAGTTCTTTAACATAGCATGCTTAGCCCACTGAATTGCTGGGCGAATGGAGGATCTTGAAGGTGTGCTGGCACAGGGCTGGGTCCATTGGCCTTAGGTTGAGACTCTGGTCTCCTGTTACTTGTTCCAAGGCATCAAGCTCTCTAGTCTTCCTCCTGCCCTGCTAGAGGGTCCTGGGCTGTCTGTCACCAGCTCCTGTCCAGGCTAAGGAGGTCTGGATGGAGAACACATTGAGACTAGAGGAACATGAGCCTATGAAGCCCTAACTGCAGTCTCCAAACATACCCAGGAAGTTCCTGAGGAGGCTCCTATGACACTCCCCCAGCTTGGAGGGGCTACAGCCTGCAGTGTGGCCCTGGGCTAGCTTACCTAACAAATGCGGATGAGACTCCCAGTAAGTGCTGCCTGGAGAACACAGGTAAAGCATATTGAGCACTGAGCACAGGCCTTGGGCACCAGGTAACTGAGGTCTGATTTCCCTTTCTGTGGTGTAGGTGGCGGTGCAGGCATGGCAATGGATTTCAGGGCTGACTGTACTTGTGCTTGACCACTGAGAAACACCCCATCCGTGTGAGGTCCCAGTTCTAGTAGAGACATTTTTGCCCACACCCTTCCAGATCTGTGATCTCATGCCCCTTTGATGCGGGGGGGGGGGGGGGGGGGGGCAGGGGAAACCCCGGGCCCGTCAGTGTCTCAGGACGACTGATGGCAACAGTGGCCAGAGATGAGTTTTCCCACATCTTCCCATATCCTCTCCCAAGGGACGAGGTTGCAGTTCTCTTCTTTGGGAAAGTTACAAAGCACCTGCTGCCTCCCAGGTAATTTGCATGGGTAAGTTACCCCCCCCCCGGGGACCCCCTCAGTGTCCCAGTGAAGATGTGGATCTGGTTCTATATGACCAGTCACAAGTGCCTGTCCAACCTGGCCAGCTGGACACACAGATTCTTCTATGCAGCTCTAACAGGGGGAGTCTAGTGACCCTCTCAAAGAATGGCAGGGTGTTGTCAACCCTCAGGAGCCCCTCCCAGCTCAAAGTCTAGCCTGTTCGCTTGGTGTCTCCTCTCTGCCAGAGGCTGGCGGAGCCGCCATGAAAAGACGAAAGGAAAAGGAGATGTACAACCCTTCCCATCTCCAACAAGGTCCTGAAAGCTGAATTCTCTGCCCTGGTGACCTGCACAGGTCACTGTCTTTGTTGAGCTTCAACTTCTCCATCTTTCAGATGGCAATAGTGCTGGAAGAAGGAGCTGAGAGTCACCCTGTAACCCTGCAACAGCATCTCACTTGGAGAGGTCCTTCCCAGACCCTACCCCCTTAGGCCTTGTACTCCCAGACTTGGGACTCTCCTCTTCCCAAATTCTCAGTCCTCCCAGGGTTCCTGGGATCCAGTGAGCTGGATGGGTAAGCTCAGAAAACCCCTGGCCTCATCTATAGCTCTGGAGAGTTTGGGGAGAAGTCATTAATTTTACCCTAAATGTCCAGCATCCCAGAGCAGGAACAGAGTCCAGAGAGGTTAAAGACTTAGCTCCAGATCACACAGCAAGCTAGACAAGAGCTGAGCTCCGACCTGGGGCTTATACCTCTCCTCCTCAGAATTCACCCGCACCCCACCAGCTTGGCTCATCTCCAAGACCCACATTCCTAAGGAGCATTTCTGTTTCTAGTGTACTCCCTCTTTCTCAGCTAGCAGCCTTCCTTCGGCCTGCCCTGTGGAGGGGCCTGACTCACTCTGCCCCACCCTCCTTTGGCCTGGCAGCTGCCAATCTACAGCCTCAGACACACTCAAGGGATTCTAGACTGACCCAGTCTCCTGGCATAGCTCAGACACTCAAGGTCAGTCCTAGGAGTACTGTCCAGACCATGGGAGGAACCTAGTGGAAGGTAGATAAGAAAAGGCCGCAGACTGGGAAGCCACCAGGGAAGGCCAGGCTGGTGGTGTCCTTCCTGAACCTCAGTTTGCTTTTGATGTCAGTCTCCTTGAGAGGCAGTCCCTTAGTCAGGCTGTGATGAGGCAGGGGAGCATCAGAGAAGGCAAGGAAACAGCCAAGTCATACATTCAACGGGTACACAGACTCCCCTCCTGTCTAATCACCCCCTTTCCACCCCTCCCCCACTGACTCCAGAAGGGAAGGCAGCTTCCCGGGCCACTAGGTTGTGGGGCTTTCACCAACTCAGAAAGCTGGGGGCTGGGCTGAATAAATATTTACAGAACTCTTTTGGCCCTGCTGGTGGCAGTCTAGGGACAAAAACACTAGAGGGGACCCTCTCTGTGCATCTATAGAGTGATGGATCCTCAGCTGAGATCCTACCTCAAGCTTGTCCACAGGTCCTGTGCAAGCCTCAGAGTGGATACAGCTACAGCTGACAACTGTCTCTCCAGTGTACCTGACCTTGCCTCGTGTATCCTAAATGCCCAATAGTAGACACTGGGGCTCCCTCCCGTTTTATCCCCTTACAGATGAAGGAGTCAGGGGGAAGGCATTCACTCAAGGTTTCATGGTTCAAACTCAGACCTCTCCAGTTTCCAAATGTGTGAGTTCAACCCACGGTGGCCTGGCAGGGAGGTGGGGGCCAGGGATGTTGACCACTGTGCTGCAAGTCCTAGGGCAGGGAACTCCATACTCTGCCTGAGGAGCTTCTGACCCACGATACCCACCCCTCTTTCCAAACCCTTTTGTGCCCAAGGCCAGTGTGAGGCAAATCTGGCAGATGGACCAATGTGGCTGGACCAAGGGACCAGCCCCAGAACACCTGCCTGTCATACCTTTCTCTCACCATTCCCTGAGCTGGCTGGTCGCCTCAGCTGGCAGCTGAGGGCAGGGTACCCGGTGGGTATTGTAGGTCTCTAGTAGTCCCTGCTCCAGCCCCAAAGCAGCTTAGTTGCCTCAAAGACCAGCTTGGAAGGATACAGCTATTGGGACAAACGCGCTGTGAGTCCCCTAATCCCCTCTCCTCCCCCCTTACCTCTTTCTCTGCACCCCGTCTCTTTTCTCTCCCCGTGTTTTTGTTCCCTGAGGGTCTCCAGTGCCCAGTTTCAGTGCCCCCCCCTTTATTCTGACTGCCACCTGATGCTCATACACGCTCTCAGGGCGCATTCTCTGTTAGCCCCAAATCTCCCAAACTTGCCTCCTGCAGGTTGAGGCACCTCTCTCAACTTGGGCCTCATTTTCTCCTTCCCTAGCTCTTCCTTTATTCTTCTCCATCCCACTGTAGACACCTTGCGGAGGTGCTCACCGGAGGCTGCCGCCCCCCAACCCCCGCCCCGATTTGCTTTGCTTCCTTCCTGTGATGATCAAGGGGCACTGGTACCCACTCTGTCTGCTACTTCTACCAACACACACTCCAGCATCCCTAGCTGGGGCTGGAGAAGCCGGTCCCCAAGCAGAGTCCAGCGCGCACATTTGCGCCTAACCAGCCGCATAGGCTCCACTTGCACACCGCCAGCTACGAGAAGCTCATTATCCCGGCCAGAGAAAGCCAAAAGGCATTTCAGGGACCGATTGCGCTAGGGTGACTCTAAACTCGGTGGGTCAAGCTTAGCAAGTGGGCCCAGTCCGCGTGCCCAGCCCTCCCTCGGGGAGGAGCGGCGGGCACT